AAAAAAGATGCTCACTCTCCCTGCCTCACAGGCCCCCGTGCAGAGCTCCATGGAGGAACTTTCTTCTTCTTGGATACTGGGGAAGATTTGAACAGTGTTGCCCAGTCCTTGCTGTGTGTGCTCCGTTCTTAAATTCTTAAAACTTGTTTTACTGCAGCATGTTCTTTCTTTTCCTCTTTCAGCTGTTGAAAAGCTTTTGGTCCCGCTGGTAATGGCATACTCAATGGTAATACTCAATGGCATACATTGGCCCAATAAGTAAACATTCAGTAACAAACCTTTTAGGTATTTAAAGCGCCACTAAAAATGTGAAAGATGTATTTCATTAATGCGTCTATTAACATAAATGTAAAATGAACCTGTCCTGTAATCACCAACAAGTCTGACTCACTAAAGATCTTTATGGCAATGTTTAATGCTCTGTAAAAGTGTATGTATAAAAGTGATCAATCAAAACACAGTACTGCTTCTAGAGTATTCCTTCTGCTGTAAAGCTGAGTGATAAAATAACTTAAAACACACGGCAATAGTGGCAGTTAATAAGCTTTTTATAGTCCCTGTGTGGACTTGAAAATCATACCTTATTAGTATCTTTATCTTTCTTGCTCACTCATTCATTCTTACTCACATTTAAATTTAATTTTAAGGGTTATTTCTAGTCTTTCATAAGGGACCTGCTTTAATAATCTTGGCATTTTTCCCCATTTGCTGTGAAATGACTGGGAGTCAGAGCTTTTGTTATATGTACTTTACAAATAACTTTTTTTACAGATCATTTCTGGAGATGTCAAGATTTTATGACATCGTTAGACTTTGTATCTTGTTTGACTGTGTCATAGGCCCTCTGGAATTGTTTCCCCGCAGATGTTTGCAGTTCCATTGTGTACCCCGTTAGCTGCAGTGACACCTACTGATCTAGGGCAACTGAATTAACTAAGAAATCCAAATTCCTGAATTCAGTCAGCTAGCTGCTTGGGGTCCCACTCACCAGATGTTTCGCCTGCTTAGAAGTCTGGTACTTTATAGACCTGCCTGCTTTTTTAATCCTTGAAGCAAATATCAACACATTTGAGATCTGGAAGCTCACGGCTCTGCACGGAAACGAAGTGTTGCCATGACCACAGCTTTAGGTCTTGCATATAAGACGTTTATCCCAAGTATAACAGAGCAGGTCTATAGGACGTTTGTTTTAATTTTTATCTCTTGGAAGCCTTGGAAAGGAGCGTATGTATGCCAATAGAATGGTAATAAATACTGCACAAAGACAACTCACATTTGGTATTCAAACTCCATTTAATGCTTCTAAGAGGAAAAATTTTAGTTATTTGCAGGGCATCCTTTGAAATTAATAGAAATAGAATAGCTCCTCAATCTTTCACAGCATGTTTTTTCAACTGTTGCATATGGGCTTTTCCCATAAGGATGAAGCGCTCAGAGATCTGATCACATAAAGAAAATCCCTTTATGCTTTTGTTTACAGGAGGACTATGCTCTGAGTAGTTGGAATATTAATTTTCTCAACTGAAAAGTATACTGAGGTTATTAGGGCTTTAACTTCTTTAACAGTACTTCCCAGGCATTTACAGTGGATAATCAGGGAGCTGGAACAGATACGGTGTTATTTCCTTACTGTCATTATGATTACAAGTGGCTTCATTTGACATAAATTGATTATAGATGGGTATAGAATGAGAGGATACAACTGATGCATTTATTTTCAGGTCTTCTATTTCTCCATTTGCTACTTAGGGTTTTCAGAGTAACAATTCCTTCAAATATTGTTGAAGAGAATTTTGCTCTGCACAGTATGGCAAAATAAACCTTTTGAAAAGCCTGTATGCAATAAATTTTTTCATTCATATTTTTATTCTTCTGATGATAGTATTAATATGGAAGGCAGATTTTACCACAATCCAATTATTTGTTGCCTGGAGAATTGGAAATTCAAATCCTAAAGCCATTCAGTGTTCATAGAATTTTAGATGGATTTGGTTAATTCCATAGGATAATTTTGACAACAGATTTTTATCCTGTCCTTATTGAAAGCACTGAAGGGCCTCACACTGATATCAGTGAGAACATGATCAAACACAGTTGGGCAGCAAGTACTGCTTTCTTCTTTTTTCTCAGTAGAGAACCATTAAGCCTGTAGTGCACAAGCCCATGCAAAATTACAATGGGTGGAAGTTAATTTTATCATTGGAAGCCCATGGCAATTAGAATGCATCAGTGAGCAGGCCATGAATTTTTTAGAACAAGGTGTAAATTCAGGCAGAGATGACACTGGCTCTTTTGGTTTAATACTGTCTACTCTGTATTGCTTTTCTTAACAGTGTTAAATTTTTTGCTGGTTTTACTTTTTTAGTTTTTTGTGCAAGATTTTGGTTGAACTGAAAGACATATTACAATAATAATAAAAGAAAATGGATTTTCATGCTATAGCAATGTGCAAAAGAGGCCAAAAATCTGAACATTTCCCTAGCCTTGGGCTATACACTATATACTTAACGTAACAGGTAAAATTGTAAGCTTGCACAAATCCCATCTGAAGTAAAAAATAACAAAAAAAACCAAAAGCTGTTTTCATCAGACCCAACTCACTATTTCAGATTTATAATTACACTGGAACTTGACAATTTTATGGCAAGAGCAGCTCTACCAGCAAACAGTGCTATTTTTGCTAAGAGTTGTCATTGGCAGTTATTACAATCAAAATTGTCACTCTATTTTATTTAAAATGTATTTCCCCAGTAAGCAAGAAATAAAACCTTGACTTGAAAGGGATGGATGTTAAAATATTATTTTTTTTTTACTTTCCTCTTGAGTATGCAGCATATCCAACTTCAACTCCCTGCAGCAATACAAAATGCCCAGGAATAATGTTTTCAAAATCAATACACACTACAGTCAAATATGAGACTCCACAAACCCATAATTGAAACTATGGCAGAAAAGTAGGCAGCCTGAATATAAACAAAGTACCAGAGTTGGATCATGACCAAGATGAAAATGCTAATACACCCTCTCTTGAGAAAACTGCCGTGAGACCTTCCCAGGATGTGTGTGTTAGAGAGCAGGAGTGTTTCAGGTGCAGCCTGCTGGTGCTCGTCCTCAGGCAATTTATTGTTTGGCTGCCTGACATCTCTGTAGAGAGCAATATATACAGAGTTTCATCTAACTTTTCTTTTTCACTTGGGGTGTTTCTGAATCTGTGAGCCTTTCTCACTTTGTATCTCCTCACTCTGTATGTATAGCCTCTGTCTCTCCTGTGTTTCCCAACTGCTGCCTTCACTGCCACCACCATTCTCTGGTTGGGTTTGTGGCTCCAAAGTCTTGGGACTGCTAGAACTCAAAAAGTAGCAGTGGAATCAGTGTGCTGCTCAATACTCAGGAAAAGTAAAGCATGGACATAATCTGCTGTCTTTCTGGAAGCACTGGAATGAGTAGGGATCCCAAAGAAAGAACTGAAGATTGTTTATAGGTGAGGTGTGTATATGGCTTGATCAAAGGATCCCTCAAAGAATGTTAAGACACCATATTTCTCATTGCCACACAGAAGAAGAAAATCCATGCACTGAGATACGACTCTTCTACTCCCCAGCACAGCCCATGGCAGAGCCAAGATAAAAGCATTTCATGTTATTACCTGTAGTATTTTCCCTTCTTCTCCCTAGCAGCATATGCTACATGTCTGTCTCTTGCGCCCATCATTCTCTTTCTAACCAAGTTCTTACTGTGTGGAAGACTTGCTGCAGAGTCCCCAAGAACTTCATTTGACCACAAGCTCAGAATTATTGATGAAAGTCACAAAAGATTTGAATCATTAACTTAGGAGCCTGAGTATTTGCAAGATTTCTGCTTTTTTCTGCTTTCATCAGAGGAGAAACCTAAAGTCAGTGATTTACAGTTTAAGTATACGCACAGTAGTTCAGCTATTCTACTTAAGTCAGTTTGGTCTGACATGAAAAATAAAGGTAAAAAAAAAATCACCGAGGCAATGCCGCAGACTTTCACAGGAGAGTTTGCAGCTTTGAATCAGAATACATAGTCTGCAATGTGGTATATTTAATAAAGAAATCATTACTTTTCTATACATTGTTGTCATGCATGCAAGGACACATTAATTTGTGTAGGAACACACAGATTGATCATTTACTTGTGCGACTGAGAATTTCAAATTGGGGAAGAGTAGGGGACATTTTTATACCTTAGACCCATAATTCATGAACATATTTGACATGCTTGACCCCAGTATTCTGTCTAGCTCTGTCAGAAATGAAATGCAGCTCCTCAGTTCAGTCACCTTTTATAGGCTGCATAAAGCAGACTTACGTTATGCATATTTGTACAGGGTACAGAACAGTGGGACCCCCGAACTGATTGGGGTCTCTGGAGGACTTTCACAGCATAAATACTAAATGACAGTATATTAGTAGGCAGAGGGAAAAGTCCAGAAGTACTCTTTAAAAGAGCTCTTACGAACTTATCTAGTTTTGTACTCTCAGAACTTAGTAAGATTTTATTCTTTCCAACTGCATCCTCATTTAAACAAAGAACAAATCCTTAAATTACGGCCAGACATGAATGAGAGACAATAATTACAGATAAGAGCAAAATACATGGTTCAGTCAGTGTGGGTGCTGACACCACAGCCACTGCAGACTACTTTGAGATAGGTGTTGTGTCATAAGAACTTTCAGCCACTTTAAAATCTGCCTGTTAATAGTCCAGCTCTGCAGTGCCTTGCATTTTAGGTTTGGTGGGGCCTTTCACCTTTCTTTCAAGCAGTAGCTTTTGAAAGTACAGGGTTCAAATCAATTTGTAACCAGTCCTTTATTGCATATAGCCCATTTTAAACTGTTATTTTGCAGTGTGGGAAATTGATGAATGACTAACATTAAAACTCACAGGATTCTAAAATTTCTGTGTTTTATGATAAGTACTGTTTTTTTCTTCTAGTGATTATTTCCTCTCAACTTCTTCCTTGATATCTTAAACAGATTTGGTAAGAAAAAGGAAGATAAAAGTGGGAAAACAGATCAGAAGGGGAATCCAAAGCAAGGCATGCTTAAAGAGGAGGAGCTGGAGAAGATGAAAGATGAACGTGAAAGGTGAGTAAATGGTGGCAGCATCTTTGTTCATCAGATGAAAAAACTGCAAAGTAGGGGATTCCTTGAAGACAGCCTGGCTGCAGAAGTCCCGGTCCATGCCTGCTGGCAGTCAGGTCAGGCAACCAGCTTTATAGTCTGATCTCCCGGCGGAGCCATGGCTGCTGTATGACAGGAGCTTGTAGGTCTCCTGCAGCTTCTGAGCTCTTCACTGTGGTAGGTGCTATTCAAATCCCAACTGCTGCTAATCTGATGAATATCAGTTCCTTCAAAACCTGTTTTACCTCTGCCCATTCCCAACACCAGCTGACTTCGTAATTTTTTCCTCTACTTCTCAAAAGCAAGAACCTCCTCCCTTCTCTCCTGACAGCCTCTGTTGTGTTTTCCAGCACTTCAGACCTCTTCAGCTTCAGTTGGCTGTGCCATTGATTGGTAGTATTTGTACTTAGGTATGTTCTTGTCTGTTTGCTCATTAGCCACTTGTTGCCGAAATATGTACACAACAAATGTTGAGTATGCCAAGAGGCACCAGGAGTAAAATCGGTTCAAATGGTTAAAATCAGTCTGATGAGGGGCGGGGTGGGTGAGATGGGTGAAGCAAGAAGCTGGGTGTGTGCTAGCTGTGAGTTGCCATATTTCTGAGGTAAGGCTTTGGGACTGAAATGAGAGGAACCACTGATGTGAATAAGTCCAGTTCTCTGTCCCGTTCATAAAATACTCCTTTCTTCATGTCCAACCTTAGCAACTTCATTATCTTTCCAGGCAAAGAGAATTCATACTTTTCTGGTTTCCCTTCAGGAACCAGGGACAGTTTGTAAGCGCTGACAAGGCTCAGAGAACTCCTTTCTCCCTTTCCCCAGCTCATCCAGATGTACTTCATGAAATGCTGAAGGTCTTTGTTTCCCTCTGATGGCTACTATCACAAAAGTTAAAGACCCCACACTTTCCGGCTCTCAAGAGGTGTCTGCAGTTGCTGTAAAAATTTTCATGTTGTAGTAATATGGGTTGTCAGGGCATGGGGAAAGCTTTCAGAGGTCTTTTTCCTTCACTGGACTATCCTGCTCCTGGGAGACAGAATGGAAGCAGGTATGGTTTCTTTTGAGCAGGCAGGGTTTTTCCATAGGGGCCAGCCTTTGGGTGCTGGTCAGTCCCCAGGGAAAAGACACCCTGCTTTCATTCGAGTCATGCAGTGTGTGGTCAGCTGAATAAGTAGTAGCTAACAGGTTTGATGGGGGAAAAAAATAAAACCAAGCACCAACTCTTGACGTCTGCAGCTTATATCTACTGTTTTAATAGCTAGTAAGGTATCCAGTTGCTGCAGTGCTGCTACTGGATATGCTTAGCCAGTATTTAAGTATTTAGTTCATCTGAGTTAAGTAGTGTCAGGAGAGACTTTGTACCGTTTGTTTTAAAATTTCAGTGCCGTGTCCTTGATTTTGCCAGATTGATGAGTGCCTTAATTTTAAACTGCTGACTCCCAGTTTGGATACTGGCAATTTGAGAGGTATGTGTCCTTCATTTTAAAGAAGCCAGTGTCTTTTATTAGGATCCTGGCAAGCTAAGAAGCATGTATCCCATCTGTTAAAGGGCCAGTGTCATTTACTAAAATGTTGGCAGGCTGCAAGGAATGAACCCTTCTGTCTGGAGGTCTAACGTTCCAATTGGACACAAGATAATTGTTCTTAGTATTTCTTTAGTGTTGTATGCTATTTTTTTTAAATCACAGTCACTGATTGACAGTAACTTGGTAAGGCTGCATTAGAAACTGGCAGCTCAGTGTCTTTATCATTCTGGTTTCTCTAGTAATGATTTCAGTTTTGACCTGGAAGAGTTTGCAACTGAAATGGAGAGCAGCAGGTGTGTTGAGAAGTGGATGAACCAAGATGATATTTTTAACTCACTTATTTGATTCTTCTTCCATAATGAACAAGAATAGAAATATCACACTCTTGTATCAGGTAATACATCTTGTATGTTTGGGGAATTAAAATTATAAAACAATTAACAGAGCAGGAGTGAAATAAATTTTCCCTGATGTTACCCCCAAAGCCGTGCAACACATGCTGGAAAAAACACTCAACTTTCCAAACGTGGAAGAACATGGCTGTATGTTTTTGCCCACAATAAAACTATCTGCAGGCTGACTATTGAACTCTTCTTGAGTTGATCGTAAAACAGAAGAGAATTCATCTTTTCCAGATTAAAATTGTATAAGGAAGGCAGTTCTCATATATGGGTAAGAACTGTTTGGGAAATTGATTAAAATCAGTAGGAAGAAACATTACCTGACCTGAAGGTAATTCAGTCTTTTTGCTTAGTTGCTGACTATTCACCTAGTGATGATACCAAGTAAGACAGTAAAGACAAGTTTTATAGCTCTGTCCCAAGATTTAGTAATTCTATAATGTAATTCAAGTCCAAGATTTTAATGCACATATTGGCAAAGAAAACCTTGTAGCACATCCAACCATAGATCTTCTGCTTCTATGACTTCACTAGCTTCAATCCTGCATACTTGGTCTCATATTTATAAAACCAAGCTTCACCGAATCTTACTAGAACATAGGTATATTTTTTCAAAGCTGTTCTTCTTGAGAGTGAAATATGTTAAAACTACTAATGATGTAGTAGTAGAACAGAATATAGAACTGTTGTTAAGATATCTAGCATCTTTTGTCCCCGATAACCTGTGAACAAATCCCATATTCAACAGCTTGAACAAAATAAAAATTGCTTTTCTAACATTTAACCTATCTGGAATTAACTTAAACATGCACCTAATTTTACCTTTCCAAGATCAGCTGTATAAGTAATTCTTGTTCAGATCCTCAGTCCCATTATTACAGTCTTAAAGTCAGGGAGTTTTGCTTAAACATCAGTTTTCTTTAATGCTGACTTCCTAAATATTTCAGGATCTGCCATACTAACTGATACTATGATTTTTCATTATATCAGTTTTTTTTCAGAGGCTGAGCTGTCCATTTTGGATGCTGGTGGAAGAGATCAGAGTAGTTGATTTTTGGGCTGGGTGTGACAGGATTAATGATCAAGTGCTTTTCAGCATCTTAGCAGCTGTGGACCTCGCATGGTTTTGGATGTTGGTTTTGAATGCAGTATATGCTTGGCAGCTCTCCAAAAAACAGAATTCTGTTCCAAGATCTCAGCTGAGAAGTATTTTTCAGTAGGAAGTGCATTTCCAGTTTACAGGAGCAGGGCATCTCTCAGAGTTGTGTAGAGTTTTTTGATTGGTATTGGATGAGTGCAGATGTTTCAAGAAATTCCAGGGATAGGCTTTCTGTGAAGGATGTAGCCTTCTTCCAGAAATTGTGGCAGGTTTAACAGATGTGCAGAGATGTCAGATGTGTTCTGTCAGATGTGTATGTGTTGGCTGTGCAGTGACTCTGGCTCTGAGAAGAAACATCAGAGCTTACGTAGGTGTACTGCATGAGCGTAAGTCCATCATGCTCGGAATAGGCTGGATTTCCTGCTTGCACAGGGAAGGAATTGTACAGTGCATGTGCAACAAGTCTGGCACATCCAGAATGTGTTACAGCTAGTAGGCGTATGCAGACAGAGTATACAGCACTCATTCTGTAGTGCAGATGCTTCGAAAAAGGATTGCGTTTGCTTGCACATTGGTCCTCAGCATAGATTTGCCTGGCAGCTCCTTTTATGGACTGCCAAGTTTCAGATTTGAACCTCAAAGAGTGAAAATAAATCTAGTATTTCTCTAGCCTAGTAATTTCTATTTCCATTCCACATTGTTCTAGTCTCAGTTTTCAGTACAACTCTCTGTGCTGCCTTGTAGCTGCAGTTCTCTGAAGCAGCTCCACATCCTGCACTGAAATGCTGACATCGTTATTTTTTGACTGCTTGTATTCCCTAGCAGTCCCCACCAAGATCAAGGTCTCATTGTGCTTGTTGCTGTTAGGGAAGCTTGGGCCTGACCCCGAGCACTTACAGTTGAGGTAGAAGAGAGAAAATCTGGCAGGAAAAAAAAAAGCATCCTGTGGGTGTGAATCTGACGTGCAGGCAGTGCAGCTGCTTGTCCAGGTTCCTAAAAAGCCCCTGTCAGGCTAGGAATTTGTTCCAGACCCTCAGCCCAAGGCCTCCTTCCTTTTCAAAGCCAGTACTTTATTATACAACTACTGCTTCTGCAAGCTTCGAGTGGTTAACAGGAACTTAGGATGTTAGGCATTCCTTCTTTAGTAATAGCCTTTATCTGTGTCCAATTGAATACAAATTCAGCACCTCCTCGAAATGTCACTATTTTCCTCTTCTGCCCCTACCTCCCTTAGCTTTCCTTGTGCCACACCGATGTAATGTCACTGAAACTTGACTGGAGAAAGTCAGAAGTTCATGGCACAGTTCAGGAGGACAGACTTAACTAGTGATGTAGTTCTGAGGTGGTGGTTTGTCCTTCCTGACACAAGTCAAGTGGTTCATTGGACTGAGGCCCTATTTTAAATAAACTCATCATTTTGTTCATGCTTCAAAGAGTTTGGCTGTAATAAAGCATGTGCTCCAAAGGTCTAGGATCTGCCCATAAAAGGAAAAAGCAAATGATGCGTCTGAGGTTTATTTTGATCAAGCTGACTCAAATCTGTATTTTTAGTGTGTTCTGTGTAAATTACTCAGAATTCATCATTTTAACACAAGATGTTCACTACATTATTAAATACTGGAAGAGATCCTCTCATCTTCTTTCTTTCCCTTAAAACAAGATTTCTCTTCCTCCCTTTCTCCATGTTTTTCCCACTTGTTTGGGATTGTCTTTTTATTTTCTAACATTTAAAAATCATCATGAAACAAACTGGATAAGTATATTAAGCACTGGAGTTTTACCCATAATAATTTGTTTGCCTTTCAAGCAAACATAAATAAAGTGACTATCAATTGAAAGAAAACTATTTTTCCTGTTTAGGATTATTTTGTTGCAATATTTCTGCTGAGACCAAAGTGTCTCTTCCAGCAGAGTTGAACATTTCCGTGATATTAGGGTA